TTTTATTACTCATTAAAATCAAAATAAAAGCCAGGAAGCAACTTAAATAAAGAATCGTTTAAATCGAGTATCTTTGAAAAAAAACAATTATTTCAATAGAAATAAAGCATGTTGAAGAAACTGATTTGACCAGTTCTCAACATGATGAAAATATAAATATTAAGTTTATCATAATTGATTTATTTATATTCTTATCTAGTTTTATCCAGACTATCTAAATACTAAAATATAAAATGACAAACATCTAATAATTATTTTATCATCTAATATCCTAGACCAACATAATGAAACATTATGTTGTAATTAATACATCAAACACAACAAGAATTAATTAAACCTCTATCCACCTTAAACTTAATTTTAATTTAATTCATATAAAACTATTAAAAATAATAATTTATTATTAAACATTTTTATGTGTTACAAGTTAGAATTAATAGTTGACTAATTCATAAATATGATGAGAAACTTATCTCATCTTTTGGATATATAGAATCGTTGTCTCATTAATTTAATACTTGGAGTTTTTTTAAAAACATTTTTGTTAAGAAGTATGCTAGTACTATCAATTTTATGTTATGTGGAATAAATGAAGCTAACAGTAGAAAGAAAAATTGAAACCAAAATTCATTTGTCATTTTTTAGAATAAAAAATAAAATAAAACTGGAAAATACTGTAAAATTAAGAACGTTGCAATGTTAAATCGATTCATTGGAAAGAATGAAGAACCTTCAATAGATGAAACTCATGCAATTCTTGAGTCAAGAGTAACTGATTTAGATCAAAAGATTGTTGATTTGGATAGACAAATTCGTCAAAACATTGAAATGTCACATAAAACAACTGGTGCTGAAAGCCAACGATATAAACAGAAGGCATTAATGTTATTAAAACAAAAGAAACAACACGAACAACATCGGGACATAACTGAAAGACATCAGATGAATTTAGAAAATGTTCAATTCCAAGTAGACCAAATGAAAGATTACAAAAAAGTGTATGATGCAATGGCAGCTTCAAATAGACAAATGAAACTTATATCACGCCAATTTGATATAAATTCTATTGAAGATGTTCAAGATAGTATGATGAATTTTGCAGAAGACCAACAAGAATTTGGTGACATTTTATCACAAGACATTACAAATATGGATTTGAATGAATTAGATGATGGTTTGCTTTTATTTTCCTAATAACTTTTGTTTATAACACTAATTTTTTTTAGAACTAGCTGAATTAGGTGATTCAATGTTTGAAGGAGATATTCAAATCCCAGAATCAGATGGGTTTGGTTCTGTTCCAATAACTAACGAACCGTTTAGACAAAAAGAAGAATCACAACCAGATGACAAAAAATTTGCAATTTAAATTTCTATTATTTATAATTGGCTTATTATATTTTTATTTTTCACGAAAATAAAAGATTTATTTTTAACAAACAATACAACCAGAAATAATCTGGTTATCTGCTAATAAATCCCCTATCAAAGTAAATAACTCAGAGACACCTTTCCCTGTTGTTGAATTACATTCAATATATTTATTAATAAAATTACTTTTTATTGTTGATTCAATTAATTCAAATGGAATCACTTCATGTTGTTCTCCACAATGACTCGCACATAATATCAATGGTAATTCTGGTCGGTATTTCTTTATTTCAGGAATCCAATATTGAACAACGTTACTAAAAGTTTGTGGATGAATCAAAGAAAAACAGATAACAAATATGTTACCTGATGAATAAATAATTTTTCTTAAATACTCATGTTCTTTTGAACTAAATGCATCTGTAATTGTTATTTTAACAATACCTGACCGTGAATGGATATCAATACATTGAACATCTTCTAAAAGAATATGTGGGTTTGAAGGAAATTGTTGTTGAATGAATGTTCTAATAATATTTGTTTTATCAGAATCATCATCTCCAACAAAAATACATCTTTTTAATAAATTATCTTTTTTAGATATTTGTTCGTGATATGTCAATGATTTTTTCCTTCGTTGTAACATTTGTTCATGTAATTGTGGTCCTTTTAAATTCATTTTAATTATTTGTTTATTTTGTTCTTCATCCAATCCTGATAATTCTTTAATACTATATGAATGCTTATCTTCTTTATTAGTATGTGTCTCTTCGTCTTGACTAGATTCCTTTTTCTGAAGATGAGATTTACAATAAAGATATAATCTCTCTATCTCATTTATAAATTCATTTAACTGACTCTGCTCATTTATTTTACATGACAATTCTCCACAATCTATTCTGATTAGATTCACTAATTGAAATAACCTCTTTTTTGATTGAAAAATAATATCTTTCAATTCTAAATTCTCTTTTTTTAATTGGTTATAACTAGGATTATATTGCATTTAATGTTTAGAGTTTCGTTCTTTCAAAATAACTTAAGTATTTATTAATGTAAATATTTATTTCTTTTAGTTTTCTTGAAATTATCTTGTTCTTGAGATTTTTTATTATCACACAAAATAAAAATTTCAGAAATGATAAGAAAAAATCTGATTCATTAGAATAGAAAAAGAGCAAAGAAAGAAATTTAGAAATCATAATGACTTAAATTAACAGAGCCTTAATATAACCAGGAGTCTCT